TGTAGCTTGATGGCATTAGGGTACACTGTGCACCGGTGTCCACTAGAGCCTTATAGTCCTGTGGGTCCGATGTGCCAGGCCATCGAATCCACACAGTCCAGTAAACCCGGCTGTCCCTTTCTTCCACCTGGCTGGAGGCAGGGCCCCTCTAGTCCTGGTCACAGTATTCATTACTGGAATATACCTTTGGCCAGTTTGGGTCAGCTGTCCTGGCTCTGTCCCCTCCCAGCTTCTTGTGCACCTCTAGCCTCCTCGCTGGCAGGGCAGTATGAGAAGCTGAAGCCTTTGAATTAGTGCAAGCACTGCTCAGTAACAACTGAAACATCAGTGTGTTATCAACATTATTCTCATCCTAAATCCAAAACACAGCATTATACCAGCTATTAAGAAGAAAATTAACTCTATCCCAGCTGAAACCAGGACACGTTTAACAGAAGAGAATATACTTTACAGATTGGCCAGAAATAATAGAACAATTTAAAAACTGTTAGTACGAGAACTTGTTTACTTTTATGAAAAACTCATTTAAAATTTACAAGTGTAAACAGAATACTTAAGGTTTTTGAAGTGTAAGGTGAATAAATAAAATAGATCTTCCTACAAGGTCAAGTCATCTGCATACCTAGACCTCTGTGGCTCTGACGACATGACCACTGGAACAATGCTACCTCTCTTGGCATCCTTCAGGTTTCTAAAATTTGTAGATTTCATCCATTGCCAAGAGAGCTTTCACTGATTTGAAAAGAAATGGAAGCTTTATTTTTCTTTTAACTCTCCATTGGGTAATAATGTTCTAGATGAAGTGAAGAAATGTCCCATTTACACCTGCTGCCTAACCCAAAACCAAAAGCAAGTCTTTCTCCTCAAAAGCACCTGCAATACTTATGTGGAAACTTCTGCTGTTAGTTGGATCTTTCCTAGTCCTCACCCTGTGTCCGGATGAGTCTTCTAAGATTAAAAATTGATAGAATTTTCTGATCTTAGTATCTTGAAAATTTCCTTCTCCTCAGGTTAGAATTATACAAGCAAAATTTACTACTGTAATTATATTTGTATATTCTATGCCTGCCTTGACAGAAACATACTTAGAAAAGTCCTTTTGGAGGATGAATCCCCAAGTTTGTTTTCTTACACTGAAGTGATACTGAGGTAGGGAATTCAGTAAACTAGTTGTTATGGATGGGCCACTGCTAGTATACTAAAATTAAAAACTGGTAAATCAGTCTTAGCCTAGCCCTTGTTAACTGAGAAAGACATGATACAGTATACACAAATAGATGGAAAGATTAAGCAAGTCGAGAGAAGTGATTATTCTCTTCTTCTGAGCACTGGTGAGACCACATCTAGGGTGCTGTGTCTAGTTCTGGCCTCCTCAGTGGAAGAGACATGGACATACTGGAGCAAGTCTAGTGAAGGACCATGACGATGATTAAAGGCTTGGAGAATGTATCATAAAAGGAGAGGCTGTGGAAGCTGGGGTTGTTCAGCCTGGAGAAGAGAAAGCTCAGGGGGATCTTATCAGTATGTACAAATACCTGATTGGGAAGGGGGAGTAAAGAACAGAGCTAGACTCAATGATGCCCAGTGTAAAGAAAAGAGGCAATTGAAATTGATATACTGGAAATTTCATTTAAAAATAGAAACACGTTTTTTTACTGCAAGGGTGTCCAAACACAGGAACAGGCAGCTAGAGAGGTTGTGAGGTCTCCATCCTTGGATATATTCAAAACCTGGCTGGACATGATACTGAGCAACCTGCTCTAGCTGCCTCTGCTTTGTGCCAGACGGTTCGACTAGACGATCTCCAGAGGTCCTTCAAACCTCAACTATTCTATTAATCTGTGATACAGGTACTACCACCATTATAATTTCTTAGTGTTGAGAACACAGTTTATTGCTGGGGGGGGGAAGTTGTTTGCAATATTTCCTATCTGTTGGAGTATTTAATAGATAAGATCAGACTACTTTAGAGAAGATGATCCTTGAAGAACATCCACAGAAATGCTGGCTAAATATTAGGTTGTGTAGTATTCAAGACAGACGGCCTTGCAGTCATTTCCAGACTTCTTGAAGTAATCAGAGAAACTCTGAAGTGTTTTTGCTCTAAGCGACTCTTCAATCTCTTCACCTTTCTGTTTCACGTCAGTATTTTCTCCCTTTTCACATGGAAAGATGTTCAACAATCTCAGAAGAACTGTCCAAACCTGACTTTCTGGTTTCAGATTGCTGATGGAGCTGTGGCAGTATGATTTGAGATAGTTTCATACCTCTTCTGCTAATCGTGCAAAAGCATGCAAGAAAGAATGCAGATGCAGCCTATCTTTTGCTTTGCCATTATTTAAGTAGTTAGAATTTCATTTTCTTCAAGTTCTGTTGTGGCCTAAGTTAAAAAATGTGTGTAAAGTTTTCTTAAAGGAATAAAGGTAGATATATTTCCTTCTTTTTTCACTCTTGCACAGATTCATGTTTTGAATCTATTTTGAAAACCACCATGGATGTCAAAAGAAGGGTCAGAAGGAGGAATTTCCATTCCAATTCTATTCCTTTCCATGCCATTCCATTTTCCAGTACTGCAGTTGGAAAAAATAATTTCACTGTAGCATGGAGCATAGAAAGAAGTGAAGCTCTGTTTCTTTTGATTGGAATATTGAAGAAAAGACCGCATAATGTGCTACAGGGTTCTCCAAGAAACTAGGCAGTTTACATGTAATTGTTTGGCTTATTAAGATAAAAATGAAAATCATTTTACTCCAAAGAGGTATGCAGTAGTTCTCATGTATTATGGTATGTATGATAGTTCCATTTTAAATCAACTATTTTTTGTTGTTCCGTAGTGTTTTCCAAATACCAAATAAAATTTAAATTGTAGTAAACAATACAAACTTATTTTCATTTAGTTTAAAAAAAGATATTATTTAAATATATATTTAAAGATCAGATTGCATTCAAATGCAACCCAACAGATTTGGAAAGAGAACTACAATTCAAGAAGAGAGTTCTTTGATCCAAAGACTTTATAAACAGCCAAAGAAAAGGGATTGGGAATGAAGATTATTGTCTCAGTGCATGGTTGAATGAATAAATCTTTTGCAGATTACTAGTAGTCAATAATATTATTTGGAAGATGTTCTGTTTTCCATTAGATTTATTTATACTTAAAATCACTCCATGGACTAAGTAGTTTTACCATAAGCAGATGCTAGAAGGAAAAGAAAAATCTATGAACATGATTTGTTACAAGGGCATCTTTATCTGTGTTGTTTGACTAGGTTTTTAATTAACATTTTTTAATTACCTTGTTTCCTTTATTCCAGAGAGCACAATCAGATGAATTAGAAAAAATAGAAAAGCATAGCAAGGCATCCAAGGAAAAAGAAAATGCCAAGTCTTTGGATAAACCAGAACAGTAAGAACATATTTATGAAAGAACAGTTTTGCTCGCTTCAGAAAACTTTCCCTGCTATAGTAAACTATCTAGAGATGTTATAAAAGAAAAAAAATACTGTACCTACTGACAGTGACTCATATAATTGTCTTTAATCACTCCTACAGGTTTCTCTATGAACTCTCACTAATTCCCAACTTTTCAGAACGTGTATTTTGCATCCTGTTCCAATCAACATTTTCAGAAAGCATTTGTTCAATCCGTCGCAAACTTGAATTGTTACAGAAACTGTGTGAGGTAGGTTGTGCTCTGTGAAAAGGTAGAGCTAAATTTCTGATATTTAATCTTGTTAAGTTGTACTCATATTTCAAAAGTTTTCGCTTTATTTGCTTTAAGTACTCATTAAATCTGAAGGATAGCAGAATAGAACATTTTATGATTGTACTTCAACATCAAAGTGAATTTTAAGATTAGCTTTTGGTACTGAACTATATCATGTTTTTGCCACCAATGTATATCAGTCTCTGGAAAACAGTGTACCTTCTCCTTTTGTTAAAGCAAAATTTTCCTTCTTCATAGTGACCATATCACTCTTTTCCAAATGAATGCCAGTTCAGTCCACCTTGTGTTTGCTTGGATTTTGGAAGTGTGCAACTCAATAATATCTCTGATATCTAGAATCAGTTAGAGATAACAATGTTGTCTCTAGCTAGAAGACATTACTGGAATTTTGTGGTCCCATGGAAAACAAATACATGGCTTTAGAATGCAGGTTTCATTGGTATTTTCATAACCGAAAACACTTCGAAATATTTTATTTAATTGTTTTACTATTTAATAGATTTTTTTATTTAATCGATTAAATGTTTTAATTGTTCCATGTGTGGTTTTTTATTAACTTCTTGCAAAATTCTCTCCTAAATTAAATATACCATTCACAATATTAGCATCAGTTAAGGAATTACTATTTTGTTTTTCTCAACAGGTCATCTCTGATAATATTATATAGATTTCCTATTTTTTTTTTCTAAGTATCCATTTTGGAGATAATATTCTCCATTTACCACAAATTGCATATAGATATTATTCTACTTCTACATGTTTGCAGTAGAAGGTTGTTAATTCCCTATATTTGAGCCTTTATATAAGTATTATTTCTAAACACAATATCAACAAATCCGCTTGTCAGTCATACTGTTAACCGTAAATATTGTTGTGAGTTTGAACAGAGAATTGTTTCTCGTTCTGTTTTGTAGACATTGAAAAATGGGTCAGGAGTTATGCAGGTCCTGGGTTTGGTTCTTGCCTTTGGAAATTACATGAATGGTGGAAATAGGACGCGAGGACAGGCTGATGGGTTTGGACTAGATATCCTGCCAAAACTGAAAGATGTCAAGAGCAGTGTAAGTTGATTCTAGACTTCTTGTAGGCCTGAGAATGTTAAATTCTCAGAAAATTACTTTTGTCTCCATTTCCGAGTAAATGGTCTGAAATTTATGAAGGCATGTCAAGGGGAATTCTTTTATTACTATACTTAGCTGATCACAATTCTAGAGTTGGATGTATAAATATGAAAATGAACCATCTCTTTTCATTACTGTACAAACAAAAATATGTTAAATTATGTCTTAGTTCCTAATCTGAAATGTATTTGACTTTTGGTACACTGCATAGTTCTAACTTTTCCTGTATTCAGAAGCAGTACTATGATCCTTACACTTAAAAGGTTTATTACAGAAGTGGAAACAGTTGTAAAAGAAAAGTTACCTGTTATTTGATGCTGATTCAAAATATTTGTGAGAAGAAAAAAAAAAAGTCACTCCTGGAAATGACTGAATAGGCATCCTGAGCATTTGGGATAACCCAAAATTCATCCTTTATATACATCATGATTACGGAGTATGTATTTCACATTGGACCATGGAACCACCCCAGTAAAGAGTAATCACAGCAAGTACTTGTTGATTTAAGTTTTGTCTGGTACAGTCATCTGAGTAAGGAGAATGATAAGTAGTCTTGTTTCTTGCTCAGTGCTAAACTGGAGCTTGTGTGTTACCAGCACTTTTTTGGCTTTGGTTATTCAGAATGGAGCTGTATTCAAATATCTACTTTTGTTTACAAAGAAACAATAATCTTTGAGTCCCTATGGCTATGATGAAAAGACTTATCTGAATGTGGACAGTGGTATGAGAAAGGTTATAGCAATAATTCTTGAGACTTTAAATTGGCTCCTACATCTATCTAATGAGATGTTGTCAAGATCTGCTATTCTGAAAGTGGCAGGAAAAGAAGAGGTTTTTTCCTTGCTTGGTCACTCATTAAATATACGTGCTTTAGCTGCTGGGTTAGGTAATGCAAGCAGACTGTTGTTTACCCTGAATTGAGAGACCATGTCAGCCATTTGCCTTAAAAGGGGTGGAGGAACTTCATTCTGGCATGCTGGTTCTTTGGTAAGCCAAGGGAGTGATGATGTGAATGAAGCCTTAGTATAATGTGTTTAGGGCAGGTTACTTCAGCTGAACCTTCTGGTTGACTCTAACTACATCACCAGTTTTAGAACTCTGCTCAGTAGAACATTTAGGCACACTAAATTTGATTTGGTGACTTTAGTATGTATGACTATTAACCGTGCAATTGCAAGACGTCTTCAGTTTATTTGCTACTGATCAGTCACAAAAGTTCTTACAAAATAGTTTTCTGAAACTATCTGAAAACCTAATTCTGTCAAAAATACTCTTCAAATCAAAGATTTTCTGCTGAAGTTTCATTGCAGAGATTTCAGAGGGGAAACAATGAGCAAGTTCCCCCAAAAGTGCCAAAATTTCATTTAGAAAAATAACTTACTTTGTTTAATTGAACTTTGCTTTGGTTATAGTTATAGATTAATAAAAAGATCTGAATGTTGTGAAACAAGTTGCATACATCAATGCAGAAACAATCTCTCTTTTCCTTTTTGGGAAATTTCAAAATGTAAGGGTTCAGTTTACAATCAGGCAAATTTCAAAAATTAGGAGTGGCTTACATGAGTGTTATAACATATCTTTCTATTATTTTCTTTAATGATTAAATGGTATTTCATGATGTTGGGTTTTGGGGTTTTTTTAGTGAAGGCACCAAATCAGCCAAGTATTTTTCTGTACTGACACTAAATATTTCATTTACTTGAATGATCATTTCTGAATATGTTTTTTTTCAGTAACACTGCAAATTTTATTCTCTTCCATACAGGACAACAGCAGAAGTCTTCTATCTTACATTGTCTCATACTATTTGCGTAATTTTGATGAGGTGAGTGAGAATTAATTTTGCTCTTTTAAATTCAAGTTAAAAAAATCAACTTACTAAGTTTGGTCTTCTGCTGGCCAAGATGAGGAAATGTGCATAAATATTCTTTGTGCTTTCAGTTATATATTTTAGTATATAAAAAAGTAATAAGCACTACGTAACTGTTCATTTGTGTTTTTGTCAGGATGCTGGAAAAGAACAATGCATCTTTCCTCTTCCAGACCCACAAGATCTCTTCCAGGCTTCGCAAATGAAGTTTGAAGACTTTCAAAAAGACCTCCGCAAAATGAAGAAAGATTTGCGAGGTACTGAACCTAGATTAAACGCTAACTATATGTTACCAACATATCCCTGCTGTTATTGTTTGTATCATTTTGAGAAATTAGATGATAGTATACAAATAGTTGTGTATTTTTGACTCCTCAATTACTATTTTGTTTCCTTAATTTGCTTTTTCATGACCATTTAAGCAATAATTCGTAACTTTCTGTAGATAACCTGGAAGAGGCTATTAAAATAAACAACATCAAACCAGTTAGGTTAAATCTTTTATTTCAAAACCAAAACAAAAAAATAATTTTTTTTTTCCAAACTAATTTCAACAAGTCTTTCACCATAAAAAGAATTGCAAAGTGTTGGACCCTGTCTGTGACAAAAAAAAGGTTGATAATCAGGTCCAAATACTATTTAGCAGATAAAATAATATATATGGCATGTCGTTAAAGACAGTTGAAATAACCTGACTTTACTAAAAAATAATATGCAAAGGAAGTATTTTTTTTCTCCTGCTTGTGGAATGACTTCCTTAAATGAACTCAACAAGCTTAAAATAAGATGTATTTGCTAGACTTTGATAAAGAAATTGTGTCACATATAATACGTTTCTTAATAACATTGGGAACTAAGCACTAAGTTTAAGTTAAGCAAGAGTAGTTTGCACAAATTATGGCTAATATTTATGATCTTCAATAGGTTTGCTAAAAGTCTCTGCTAGACTAGCCAGTTATGTACCATTATGCTAAATCTTTGAGAGAAGGATTCAAATTAAGGAGTGAAATGATCTTTATGTTTTGTTGCCTTGCTGATTTTGAATGTCATGCATCTAGAGACCAAGGAATGGTTTGGTAAATCATTAGTCCCTGAACAACCTAGAATGGAAGGTTCTCTATTAAAACAAAAACATAACATGGTTACCAAATGATATCTGACTTTTCCCTTCTTGCCCCTATCAAGCTTTCTGTTTGGATGTTTTAAAATTTATTTTAAAAATTTAGAGGTAGTATTTAAAGTTGTATCAAGGACACTTAGTGTGATACTGAGAAGCCAACTGCAGCACCATCCATTTGCTGCCCTGAACAATCTAGGGGGCAAAAATCCCACAGTTCAGCCATGAAAACTTATTTCTATACTTCATGCAACTTTCAGATAATCTGAGGACTGATCTCCAAGTTTGCACATAGAAAAGAAAGATGCTTAGATCTGATTAGTCAAAGGTACTTGAATTCAGGCACATGTTTACGAACATCCATGGGGCAGACGTTATTCCTTGCAAGTTCACCAAAAATGTTTTCATATAGACAAAAGGTTAAATATTTTTAGACCAAGGTTGAAATTTGCACACAGGCATAAATCTCTTATGAAATAGATCCACACTGTGCAGTGATCAAAGCAGGGGTTCTGTAAAAATGGAAATTACACGCTTCACTCTGCCATCAGACTGCAGTTGAATTCTTTCTGTGCTTCCAATCCAGCCCTTAGGCTGGCGTCTCTGTTGTCAGTCTGTTCTGTAGTTAATGAAACTGAAGAATAACTGCAGACACCATCACTCTTTC